TACTAAATACAAAGTAATAAAATATTTTAATAAGAATATTTTAGGGTAAAGAGTTATCGAGTCTGTTTTTCTCAATTCAATTTTTACTTAGTCTTTGGTGCTTTTTTATGATGAATACTATGTTAACGAATCCCGGACAATCCCCCTCCTGGACGATTCCCGTTCCATATTATTTTCACAACTCGGACATTTCCCCTCCCGTTATTTTAATAGAGCGGACTTTTCCCCTCCCGTTAATTTAGCAGAGCGGACAATTCCCCTCCCATTTTTTAGCAGAGCGGACAATTCCCCTCCCGTTTTTCACATTCCGTATACAAAAAACTATAACCATTCTTATTAAAGATGACAGTTTTTACTCTTAACAATAAGGCCCCCACGATTACACGTTTAAACGGATTCGTTTCGATTTTCATTCATAAACGTTTACGATATTGTTTACCGTTTAATCGAAATGACCATATTGTCTTACAAAATTTCTTAATCATTGCCTGTAATCATGGATTTTATCAATTCTAGTGGTTTATTCCAAAGTAAACAAACGGAAAATGGGTGTTTACAACCCTCCACACAGCATTACCGTGCAAAATTGCTCGTGACATAATACATTTTTGGTAAAAAATGGGGTTACAATGCAAAAAATGTGTGCTGACTCAATCGTGATGAGCCTTGCACATTCTTTATTTGTACATGTATCAAAAATAGAAAGAAAGACATCATTTGGCGACTCAAATACATGGTGTGTATAATACATAGAGGTACCACCGTTTAAACGGTATCGTTTCGGTTCTTAGCAGTCGTGTAAACGTTTACAAAAAATTGTAAACGTGGGAGCCTTACTTAACAATAAACTGTTAAAGATCGGAACTTTTAACAATCATTATTTCACAAAAGTGACATTATACCGCCTTTAATCATTGCCGCCGCTGCTTAAGATAAACAAACTGTCAATAAAAAATCTTTAAGCATTGCCGCCCTTAGTTAAATGTGTCCTTGATTGCAAAACCAATTAAAAATGAAGGAGAATATTCCTACAAATGTGTTCAATCATATATAAAATCAAAATGATCACTGATATTTTGTGTAAGGACTTCATGTACTGATTCAATATGGTGAATATGATTTTCTAAGATGACAGTTCAATTTACTATAACATGTGCATAATATATAATATTCTTTGCAAGAATCTACAGCTTAATTGTTTTTTTTGTTCTTATCAATTGTTCTTTTATTGTTTTGCCGCTGCAAAAATGTATATACCTTTCAAATAAACAATATTATGTAATATATATATTCAATAGCCACGGGAGGGAAATTGTCCGCTCTGACAACAGCGGGAGGGGAATTGTCCGGGTTGTTAAAAGAACGGAAGGGGAATTGTTCGGGTTGTTAAAAGAACGGAAGGGGAATTGTCCGGGTTGATAAAAGAACGGGAGGGGAATTGTCCGCCGTAAAAAAATAACGGGAGGGGAAATGTCCGGGTTGTGAAAAAACATTCAAATTTACTGGGAGGGGAATCGTCCGGGAGGGGAATTGTCCGGATACCTATTTGATATATTACTTTTTCACAAAAATAAAATAATGTAATTTACAGCTTTATTTTATGAGAAAAATTTATCCTATTTTTATCAAAACCAAAAGTACTGCCTAGTAATGCAGTTGCAGTACTACTTTTTAAGACAGTAATGCAGTACCAGTACCAGTAGTAGCAAAATTGTGTAAAAGTAATTCAGTATCAGTACCAGTACTTGCAAAATCGCTGCAGTAAGTACTGCAGTACCAGTACCAGTAATGCAGCCCTGCCCTTGGTATGACTATTATAAACATCATTACATGAAAGACATTAACTTAAAAATAAAGGCTGTATGAGCAGAAATGTTTAGATTTATATTTTTACACAAGTGACCTTGATCTTGACCAAGAGATGCCTAACGCCACAAAAAATTAGAGGACTGTTTAAGGTATCCACCTACCAAATATGAAAGATATTATTAAATAAATTAAGTAATTAGGTGAAATTTTTTGATAAATCCAACTTGGCAAATAGGTTAACCAAACAAGGCCCTATTTTCAAAGTGATAAAAAGGGAAATTACTGGGAAAATGGATGGCACATTTATATAACTTAGCAATATCAAGTACATTGTATTGATAAGTAAGTGTGAAAATTATTAAGCCATCAGTTCAGATAGAACATATTATTAAGATATTTCCAACTTGCCGGTTTAGGTTAACCATTATTCATTTTCTAAGTGCTGAAAAGGGCCATAACTTGGTGCAAATGGAAGCCATAGTTATGTAACTTGCCCAGATCATATACTTTGTATAGATTAGTAAGTGTGTAAATTATGAAGCCATTGGTACAGGTAGAACTTAAGAAAAATCCAACTTGCTGTTCTAGGTTAACCTGGTACGGACAGACAGACGGACGGACGGTTTAATTACTATATGCCCAGGGGCATAAAAAAAATTAAAAACTGAAGTTTGAGCCGAAAATAGCTCAAATTGCCATGTAAAGCCAAAATATTATCGGGCCTACAAAAATAAGATTTATCTTTTATATAATGTATTAAAAATGTATTTTTGTTGTTATAAAAATTAAATGATTTGTATTAATGAAATTATAAAGGATGAAATGTTTTGCAATGAAATATCAAATGTTTGTGCGGCAAATACTTGTGAATATCCCAAATAGTATAGAATGGCGTCTACGAAAATAAGATTTTCATGGTTCATAACTTTTATCAAATTCATAAAATTATTTTGGTATACTGGCATGCGAGCAGTAAGGCTCCCACGGTTAAACGTTTAAACGGATTCGTTTCGATTTTCATTCCGAAACATTTACGATTTCTTTTACCGTTTAATCGAAATGACCATATTGTCTTACGGAATATCTTAATCATTGCCTGTAATCACGGCTTTTATCAATTCCAATTGGTTTATTCCAAAGTAAAAATGGAAAATGGGTGTTTACAACCCTCCGAACAGCATCACCGTGCAATAATCGCTTGTGGCATAATACATTTTTGGTAAAGTTGATTTTCCTTTGATCTTTCAAAAGAGCGAAATTGGGACACAATGCAGAAAATGTGTGTCGACACAATCGTGATGAGCCCTGGACATTATTTATTTGTATAATTTTTATGTATTAAAAATAGAAAGTATGTCATTTGCCGACTCGAATACATGGTGTAGTATAGTACATAGAAGTACCACCGTTTAAACGGTATCGTTTTGGTTCTTAGCAATCGTGTAAACGTTTACAGAAAATTGTAAACGTGGGAGCCTTAGCGAGCAGTTCCCGTACAAAAATCATAGTTACTTAAACATTATTTTTTATTACGCTCACTCACCAAAGTTTGAATTTTACACATCAATATTCGGCTCGTCACACAAATCATGGAAATTTCATCATGTTCTAAACATAGAATAACCCATACTTATGAGGCCTCATATGGGGTACCGAAATTATTGATTATTTTGTATGAAGAGAAGTAGTTCCCGTACATAAAATCTAACCCATTATAATCATACAATTTTATTATATCGGACCTATTTTTCATTTACAATTGTTGAACAGACCATTATCTAAGAGGAAATAGAGCGTAGACTAAACGCGGGTATCTATTACCCGGTACCGTTATCCCAATGCATTCACATGCAATAGCATGCTTGTATGCATGATATTTTACGCATCAAAGCCATAAAATTATTTTATATAATAATATTGGTCAAAATTCTGATAATTAAACAAGTTTTCATCACATTGCCTACTTATCTGTAGACAGGTGGTATTAGTGGAAAAACCTTTAACAAGCCTCACGTGTAAGTATTTTTGCGCATGCGCGCAAGGACGGAATCCCCCAGAGAAAACAAGGTCACGTTTTGACGACGCACAGGTGAAAGTGATTTAAAATGAGACTTTTTATACGTACTGCCAAACTGACACTTAGATTTTGTCTCGTTTATGTATCTGCTTGATTTGAATTGAATTTTTGAAGAATGCAAGTAAAAATCAAGCGTTTAAATGAAAAATACGGGTACTGCTTCTGTATGGGAACTGCTCGCATGCCAGTATAGTGGAACCCCATTGTATCGTGCTATTCATTGTATCGATCTATTTACAAATCTTTAGATTTTTTGCAAAATACATCACCTACTGATTGTTAACATTTACAACAGTGTCACGAAAATCTTTCGCATTTATTTTTGTGCCGTAAAAATGATCATAAACATGTTTCCACTACCGTAAGACGTTGTAGATAATAAATACTAAAAATAGTCTTATAAATAATGTGTTCTTATTAAAAGTACATTTACTGTCTGTTAAAAGTTCCTAAATGTGTGCTGACATTTTAAAACAGACATCTATGTTTCCAATTGACTGAAATAGCTAACATAAAGATGGTTAAGGCTTCCCAAACTTTGGCTAACTGAGCGATTCTCACAATGCATCGATATAATGGCGTGACCTAATTCTTCAACCTGTTTGACATGTCTGTAAATATTCGTATATTCCAAAGCTAAAAAGTATTTATCAGTGAATCCGGGTCAGCTCGGCCCTAAAACATACTCGGCCCCCGAGTCAGCTCGGCCCTATTCCAACTCGGCAAGGGTCAACTCGGCCCACTTTAAAAAAATAGGTAAAGGACATCAAAGGACTCCTATTGTCACAGGCTATTATTATCAATCTACATTATATTCTTACAACTTTTATTTCCTTTCAGATGTTATTTTCGTAGAGTACTGCATAGATTTCATTTTCGTACATATTTGTTCTATATACAGTAGATTTTATACTTGTAAAAAAAACTTCCGATCACCAAACGCTTAAAAATTATTATCTTTCCATACAAAGAGCACCTCTCCTGGGTACGAAATTGCTGAAGGACGATCTGACAAAATGAATTTCCGGAACAGAATTATCACACAAATTTTGAGGTCCATATCAATTATTAATAAATAAAAAAATACTTTCAATAGAAATACAAAAACAATCACATGCAGTGCTTAGCTGGTAAAAATTTCACACGAGATTTCCCGCTGTCAATTTTGTTGTCAATCACGCTGATGCTTGTTATTACTGATCAAGCTTCTGCACGGTGATATTACACTAATTTAGGAATCGGTTGAAAACCGCTAAAAATTGTGAGAGTTAATCGATATCATTTTAGGCACAACTTTAGGACACGTAATATTGAAAGTAAGTCTCTTGGTATAATCACGGATTTATATTACAATATTTAATATTTTTGTAATTAAAATCCGTGGTATAATCCACAATATGAGATAAACTCTAAGAGCTTTTATAACCGACTGTATATATAACATAAAATACAATACAAGTACTTACAATAAAAAATCTGGAAACAAAGTGATCCCTCGGAAGCATTAATCACAACAAAATGACAAGAGAATTGCAGACTCCGTTTAAAGACAAATTTAAATGAATAAGAAATGATAGTCTTTTTGGAAATACGAACTTGGTAACATCAACCACAACCTGGATCCTCCTCCTAAAAAGTGTATTGAAAAGAAAAGTATTTAAAATTGTCTCTTTCCAGTTTAAGGAGAAAGTAAACAGTATAGCAAAATTGTATAAATCATTGCAAATCACATATATAGAATGTACTCCTATCTTCCTTATTCAGCAAGATAAAAGTCGTTATAATTATTGCTCAAGCCTAAGAGGACTAGGGGCAGTGGCGGAGTAATCAACACAGTGGTGCAACATACATTAGTATGTATATGATATATCTACTGTGAAATTGTGAATATATGTAAAAAAAAACGAGAATAAAGATCAACAAGGCAAAGGAAACGTTCACAGGAGGCAGCCCCCGATACATGTACACCCAAGCCACCACAGCAGGGCACCCAGAAGGCACCAAACCAAAACCGGAGTGGACATAAGCACGCCCGGCAAACTGTCGCTCCACTTCAAAATTGTGGTGTACGGTAAAACGAGCGAACGGCATTTCCGAGATAGAGCGGAAGGCCGATTTAAACGCTTAATTGTAAGTGTTGTTTATGTTTTTGTCTTGTTATTCATTTAAGTTGTATTTTTTCGAAAAACGGAAAATGTAGTTCCGTGTAGAATTGATTTAGGCTTCCAATGATCTAAGCTGTTACAAAAAGAAAATTATATTAAGCCCGGGAGAACTTTTCTCCCTGACGATGCGAACGACGATTTGTAGAATATTGAACTTCCCAACCATTGAAACGCCATACCTTTCGAATTTCTTGAAAAGGTGTCTTACGTAATAAGAACTTGTCCTTCGTGCAACATAAATTACTCCTGAAAGATTTTTTTAAAAATATGTAAATCGATATTTTTCGAAAGAAGTGGAGCCAAAGGGCAAAAGAATGAGCGAAAGTCTCGATGTTGAGCGCAAGGCGATATTAATTTGGCGTATTAGGAGGAGCGTAGTCTATGATTTTTAATATATAAAAGCTACAGAAGTTAAAATAGACATGATCAAGTGTTGAGACCGAGAACAAATGTTTCCGAGCAGGTACATGTAACGCGATTGTTCCCGCCAAAATGTTATGTTTTTCGAAAAGTTAGATATTCATGGTGCAGAACAGAAACAAAATTATGCAATGCATAGAACACATTAAATTAAATGGATCACTACTGCCGAGTTCAGTTCACAATGACTTTAGTTTAGTTTGTAACATCATAAACTGTTTTTTTTTCATGAGCTCAAACAAATCAAGGAGATTTATACTTAAGCTAAAATATTATTTCTATAATAATATAACTTAGAGATAATTCCTTATGTTGAATATTGAAAGAGAATATTAATACGTTGATTTTAAAAAAATCAATATACTGTGATAATTTAGTATTCAACTGTGTAATGATTGCATATGTTTTAAAGATATAAATAATTAAAATATTATCCATAAAATAAATAAATTTGATAACTTTATTCATGATTTCAATATTAAAAAATTAATGTATAAGGGAAATACTTTTATTGAAGAGAAAAAATCTCAAGTCATGCTGTGTATTGAGGGACTGTTTTCATTTTACCACTCTCCTGCTGATAAGAGGGCCTCAGGGTAAATAACAAAGAACAGTCAATTTTGCAGATTATAAGTATGCATTGAAATTCTCTTGTTTTCTCAAAATGCATGTAAGACATAAGCCTGGGATTCATCAGGCGTTGGCACTCAGGTTAGTTAGTCATATAGATAAACGACCATAATTTTTGTATGATCAAATATACAAAATCAAAGCACAGAAGGCGCTGAATTTGTTTGGGTCTCAGAATGTAAGAAAGGTACAGGTTGTGAGATTATATGTATAGTGCCACCAATGCTTTCCAGCGTTTTAATTGTAGTAAATTGGCTATAAGACTAATTGCAACACTGATATTCAATTCAATGTTTATTTGACTTAAACAATTTGAAAAAAATGAGTTGCTTTACTGGGATTTGAACTCCAGACCTCTCGCTTCCTAAGCGAACGCGAAAACCCTTCAGCCACGGTGAATTTATATGTGAACGGCCTGAAGAAAACCATATTATTCTAAATTAGGGCTTGTAACGACTTTAACTGTTTTTAACACAGATGTAAATAATCCTGGAGCTTACTATAAGGATGTATATTTATAAAGAATCAAAGGGCTGCAAGTTCTGTGGTATTTTCTGATCTTTGCAATCTAAATCGTACTGTATATCTGTATGTATTTTCCTGTATAAGTTTATTTTTATGTATTATAATTCATTTTGCAAGGCACTAGAGTTTGATACATACGGAATTCTGCATAACTAGAGTTGCATCAAAACATCATTTATGTTCATTTTTTACGACAGCTACACTTTATCCTTGCATATCATGGCTACTTCCTTAACAAAGACACTTAAAAAAGAATTTTAAAAAAAAGTTTCCTCGACTGTGATTTGAAGTCCAGACCCCTCGCACACTAAGCGAGCGCGTTACCCCTGCACCACGGAGAAGTTATACAATCAATGTCTGAATAACATCAAGTCATTCTAAATTTAGAACTTCCATTGCATTTCGGGTTTGTAATCCTTATTAATTTCGAGGTATTTTGTTCAGGATAAACCTGTTGTTTAGAATTGAAGTAAATAATTTAGCGAAAATCTTCTCGTCCAAACAGTCCGACATGTAGAATCTATATATTCCACTACTCGGTTTGTGTAGTATTCGGTAATCGACATCGCTAAAAATAGTATTTTCATTGATAAAATCATATTCATCCGCGTAAATTGTGATTGTGCATTTATTGACAATTCTATAAGCCAACGCTATTTTTAAACTTTGAATACGTTGTAATTTGTTGGATACTTGTAACAAAATAAAAATATTTCTTTCTTTTTAATCGCTAGTTTTAAAGTGTTTTGAGAACTACTTGTTGTTAGGTTTGTCGTAATTGAATGTCCGCTTTGTATTTACTTATTTTCGATCAGAAAATACAATTAAACAATATTAGAAATCTTCGACCATTCGGGAATTATTTTGCTTGAAAATTAATGTGCCTGTCTTTGACCAAGTTTACGCAGTGATCTCATCTGAATTTTTCGGCGTTAGTGTACATATAAAGGGAAGTAACCGCTTAAAAATGTGGACTACTTTCGGCATTTGCAATTAACAGCATTAGACTTTGAAATTTCGCTACCATTATTTGTTTGGTCTGACGACCCAAACAAATAAAAATCATAATGGCAGAATGCGTATTAGATATTATTGTCTCTAAAGCGGAATTTTCTATATTTATTCATTTATCCATATTTCTTGCCATTCTGCATAATAATAAATAACTTAAGAGGCAATTCCTCATGTTCAAGATTGAAAGAGAATATTAATTCATTGATTTTAAAACAATCTATACACTGTGATATTATGTTTTTCAACCATTAAATGCTTGCATTCTTGTTAAAGATATAAATAATTAAAAAAAATCCATGAAATAAATAAAATTGATAACTTTATTCAAGATTTCTATATTGAAAATTTAATGTATAAAGGGAATGCTTTTATACAAGAGGAAAGTCTCAAGTCATGGTGTGTATTAGTATTTTTGTGAGAGCGACTGTTTTCATTACAGTGGTTTCCTGCTGATAAGAGGACCTCAGGGTAAATAATAACAAGAGGGCCATGATGGCTCGAAGATCATGACCCTTTAGTCGCTCACCTGTATATAGGCTCCCCGGAGTGGGGCCAGTTTAAACCCCGGGGCTTTTATTCGAAAAAACTTGGTAGACACCCGTTAGAAGATGTTCCATGCTAAACATCTAAGGTCTAGGTCGTTGGGTTTTTTAAAAGAAGATCTTTTAAGTTTTTACTTTACATATATATTCAAAAACAATGACACCCCTGGGGCAGGGCCAGTTTTGACCCCTGGGCTTTTATTTGAACATTCTTTGTAGACACTTAATAGAAGATGTTTCATGCTTAATATCTAAACTCTAGCTATTCGGATTTTTTTTTCGAAGAAGATTTTTAAGTTTTTGCTATACACATTTAATGAAAATCATTGTCCCCCGGGGCTGGGCCAATTTTGACCCCAGGGCTCTTATTTGAACAAACTTGGTAGACATATATTAGAACATGTTTCATGCTAAATATCTTAGCTCTAGCTCTTTTGGTTCTTTAAAAGAAGATTTTTTTAAGTTTTTACTATATGTATATAGGGAAAATCAATGACCCCCTGGGGCGGGGCCAATTTTGACCCCAAGGCTTTTATTTGAACAAACTTGGTAGACACCCATAAGAAAATGTTTCATGCTAAATATCGTAGCTCTAGCTCTTTGGGTTCTTTAAAAGAAGATTTTTTAAGTTTTACTATATGCATATACTTATACATTTGTCTACATAAAGCATCAGAGATTCCCGGGCCAGGGCCAATTGTGACCTCAGGGTTATGGTAAATGTTTATTTTGTAGAATACACATTGTTGCTACATGCAAAATATCTAAACTCTGGGCTTTGTAACAAGACAATGCGTTTTCCTGTAGAAGTCTGTTGCAGTTTCACAATATAAGACTTAAATGTTTTTCCCCATACATGACTATTGAATAAGCTACCCCGTTGTGGGCCAATATTGACCAAAGAACCATGATTAATAGTA